GTTGTAGCGTTGCGCTGGTTGACCTGCCGATGCTGGCAGAGGCATAGCGCTGTTTGACCTGCTGATTTTGGCTGTAACATAGCGCTGTTTGACCTGGCAATGTTGGCAGAGGCATAGCGCTGTTTGACCTGCCGATGTTGGCAGAGGAATAGCGCTGTTTGACCTGCCGATATTGGCTGTAGCATAGCGCTATTTTACCTGCCGATGGTGACTGAAGAATAGCGCTGTTTGATCTGCCGATGCTTGCCGTTGCATAGCGCTGTTGGACCTGCTTATGCTGGCTGTAGCATAGCGCTGTTTGACCTGCCACTGCAGCATAGCACTATTTGACCTGCAAATGGTGGTTGTAGCATAGCGCTAGTTGATCTGCAAATGTTGGTTGTAGCATAACGCAAGTTGACCTGCCGATGTTGGCAGTAGCATAGCGCTGTTTGACCTGCCGATGTTGGCTGTAGTATAGCGCTGTTTGATTCGCCGATGTTCGCTGTAGCATAGCGTTGTTTGATTCGCCGATGTTTGCTGTAGCATAGCGCTGTTTGACCTGCCGATGCGGGCTGTACCATAGCGCTTTTTGACCTGCCAAATTTGGCTGTTGCATAACACTGTTTGACCTGCTAATTTTGGTTGTAGCATAGCGCTGTTTAACCTGCCGAAGTTGGCAGTAGCATAGCGCTGTTTGACCTGCCGATGTTGGCTGTAGCATAGCACAGTTTGATCTTCCGATGCTGGCTGTGGCATAGCGCTGTTTGATCTGCCAATGGTGGCTGTAGCATAGAGCTGATTGACCTGCCGATGCTGGCTGTAGCATTGCGCTGCGTGACGTGCCAATTTTGGCTGTAGCAAAGCGCTGTTTGACCCGCCGATGCGGGTTGTAGCATAGCACTTTTGACCTGCCGATGTTGGCTGTAGCATAGCGCTGCGTGATTTGCCAATTTCGGCTGAAGCATAGCGCTGGTTGACCTGCCGATACTGGCTGAAGAATAGTGTTGTTTGACCTGCCTATGCTGGCTGTAGCATAGCGCTGTTTGACCTGCCGATTTTGGTCGTAGCATAGCGCTGTTTGACCTGCCCATGTTGTCTCTAGCATAGCGCTGTTTGACCTGCCGGTGCTGGCTTGAGCATAGGGCTGTTTGACTTGCTGACGGTGGCCGTAGCATCGTGCTGTTTGACCTGCTGATGTTGGCTGTAGCGTAGCGCTGTTGGGCCTGCCGATATTGGCTGTAGCATAACGCTGTTTGACCTGTCGATGATGGCTGAAGAATAGCGCTGTTTGACCTGCCGATGCTTGATGTTGCATAGCGCTGTTTGGCCTGCCAATTTTGGTCGTAGCATAGCACTGTTTGACCTGCCTATGTTGTCTGTGGCATAGCGCTGTTTGGGCTGCCGATGCTGGCTGTAGTATAGCGCGGTTTCACTTGCCGATGTCGGCAGAGGCATAGCGCTCTTTGACCTGCCGAGGTTGGCAGAAGCATTGCGCTGTTTGACCTGCCGATATTGGTTGTAGCATAGCACTGTTTGACCTGCTGATGGTGGCTGAAGGTTAGCGCTGTTTGACCTGCCTATGCTGGCTGTAGCATAGCGCTATTTGACCTGCCACTGCAGCATAGCGCTATTTGACCTGCAAATGGTGGTTGTAGCATAGCGCTGTTTGACCTGCCGTTGTTGGCTGTAGCATAACGCGAGTTGACCTGCCGATGTTTGCTGTAGCATAGCGCTGTTTGACCTGCCGATGTTGGCTGTAGCGTAGCGCTGTTTGACCTGCCGATGCCGGCAGAGGCATAGCGCTGTTTGACCTGCTGATTTTGGCTGTAACATAGCACTGTTTGACCTGGCAAATGTTGGCTGTAGCATACCACCAGTTAACCTACCGATGTTGGCTGTAGCATAGCGCCGGTAGACCTACCGATGTTGGCTGTAGCATAGCGCCGGTAGACCTACCGATGTTGGCTGTAGCATAGTGCTGGTAGACCTGCAGACACGGGTTGTAGTTTGGTGCTGGCTGGATCAATGCTTCTGTCGGTAGCAGAGCGTATTTGGCCTACCGATGCGAGCGGTAGCATAGCGCTGGCTGACTAGCCAATGTTGGTAACGGATTCTGGCTGCTTGAACTGATGTTGATAATAACAAGACGCTCGTTGATCTGTAGATCATGGTTGATAGAATCGAGCACTAGTTGACCCACCGATGTTGGCAGTAGCGTAGAGCTGGTTGACCTACCAATGTCATTGTAGTGAAGCATTAGTTGACCCACCTATGCTAGTTGAATCACAGATGCTAGTTGAACCACCTATGTTAGTTGAATCACATATGCTTGTAGCAGCAGAGCATTGGTGGACTAGTCGATGCTCGTTGTTGCATCACGGGTGATGGAAGCCACGTAGCGCTGCCTGACCTGCTGGTGCTATTAATTGCGTAGTACTGGTTGACCTGCCAATGATTGCAATTGCATAGTACTGGTTGACCTGCCAATGATTGCAATTGCAGAGGTATACTTGACCCACCTATGCTGGTATCAACGTAGCGCTGGGTGATCTACGGATACTGGTTGTAGAGTGGTGGGTGTTGAACCGCCGATGCTTACAACAGCATACCTCTCGTTGATCTGCTGATGCTGGTATTAGCCTTGCGATAGTTCACCCACCAATGATGATGCCGGTTTAGGCAATTGAGTAGAGCTAGTCAACTGACTGATGCCGTCAGCAGCATGGCACTAGTTGATCAGCTGACGCTTGTTGTAACGTAGGTTTAGTTGACCTGCCATTGCACATACTATCATAGTGTTAGCTGAATCGCCAGTGCTTGTAACAGCGTCGTGCTCAATGACCTCCTGATGGTGGCAGAACCAAGTCTCTGGCTGATCCACTGATTTTGGTAGTTGCAAAGCGCTGGTTGGCCCACCGATGCTGGTAGAAGCTTAGAGTGTGTTGACTTGCTGATACTGGTAATATTATAGCACTGGATGATGACCCAACTGGTGCTGGTAGTAGCAAAGCATCAGTTGTCCCACTGACACTGTACGTAGCGTAGCACTTATTGACCTGCTTTTGCTGTTAGTAGCGTAGCGCTGGTAGAACGCTGACTGCGACGTAGCACCGGCTGACCTGCCGGTGATGCTCATAGTAGCTTAGCGTTGCTGATTACGTCCGCTAATGCTGGTAGCAGCATAGCACTGGTTGTCCCATTGCAGGGTATGGTACGGCCGTGCTGGTTGTCCCATTGCAGGGTATGGTACGGCAGTGCTGGTTGTCCCATTGCAGGGTATGGTACGGCCGTGCTGATTGTCCCATTGCAGGGTATGGTACGGCCATGCTGGTTGTCCCATTGCAGGGTATGGTACGGTAGTGCTGGTTGTCCCATTGCAGGGTATGGTACGGCCGTGCTGATTGTCCCATTGCAGGGTATAGTACGGCCGTGCTGGTTGTCCCATTGCAGGGTATGGTACGGCCGTGCTGGTTGTCCCATTGCACGGTATGGTACGGTCGTGCTGGTTGTCCCATTGCAGGGTATGGTACGGCAGTGCTGGTTGTCCCATTGCAGGGTATGGTACGGCAGTGCTGGTTGTCCCATTGCAGGGTATGGTACGGCCGTGCTGGTTGTCCCATTGCAGGGTATGGTACGGCCGTGCTGGTTGTCCCATTGCAGGGTTTGGTACGGTCGTGCTGGTTGTCCTATTGCAGGGTATGGTACGGCAGTGCTGGTTGTCCCATTGCAGGGTATGGTACGGCCGTACTGGTTGTCCCATTGCAGGGTATGGTATGGCCGTGCTGGTTGTCCCATTGCAGAGTATGGTATGGCCGTGCTGGTTGTCCCATTGCAGGGTATGGTACGGCCGTGCTGGTCATCCCATTGCAGGGTATGGTACGGCCGTGCTGGTTGTCCCATTGCAGGGTATGGTACGGCAGTGCTGGTTGTCCCATTGCAGGGTATGGTACGGCCGTGCTGGTTGTCCCATTGCAGGGTATGGTATGGCCGTGCTGGTTGTCCCATTGCAGGGTATGGTACGGCCGTGCTGGTTGTCCCATTGCAGGGTATGGTATGGCCGTGCTGGTTGTCCCATTGCAGGGTATGGTACGGCAGTGCTGGTTAACTCGTTGCAGGATATGCTGGTTGATCTGCACAAGACCACCGGAAGGATATGCTACTGAAGCGTTGACTAATCCACTGACATGTTTAGTATTGTGCTTGTGATGGACAAGCTGCCAAGGTTATGCTGACCACATCCCTTGTGCATTTGGACGATATGTTGCAGCTGGCAGTAGAGGAGGTCTTGGCGATGGAGTGGGAGGTTTGCTGATGAAAGTGAGGATGATGGCGGTGGCGGCGGTGGTCATGGAAGTGATGATTATGATGATGGTGGTGGTGGTGGTGGTGGTGGTGGTGGTGGTGGTGGTGGTGATGGTGGTGGTGATGTGGTGGTGATGGTGATGATGGTGGTGGTGGTGGTGGTGGTGGTGATGGTGATGGTGATAATGATGGTGGTGTTGGGTGACAGTGAGAGGAGGAGCAGCAAAAGCAGCGGAGGCAGCAAAAGCAGCATGAAAAGCAGGACGAAAAGCAGCGGTAGCTGCAAAAGCAGCACGAAACGCAGCAAAAGCAGCATGAACAGCAGCAAAAGCAGCATGAAACGCAGCGGTGGCAGCAAAAGCAGCACGAAACGCAGCAAAAGCAGCATGAAAAGCAGCACGAACCGCAGCAAAAGCAGCGGAAGCAGCATGAACAGCAGCATGAACAGCAGCATGTAAAGCAGCGAAAGCAGCAAAAGCAGCACGAAAAGCAGCGAAAGCAGCACAAAAAGCAGCGAAAGCAGCACAAAAAGCAGCATGAAAAGCAGCAAAAGCAGCATGAAAAGCAGCGAAAGCAGCACGAAAAGCAGCGGAAGCAGCAAAAGCAGCACGAAAAGCAGCGGTAGCAGCATGAAAAGCAGCAAAAGCAGCACGAAGCGCAGCATAAAAAGCAGCGGAAGCAGCATGAACAGCAGCATGTAAAGCAGCGAAAGCAGCATGAAAAGCAGCGAAAGCAGCACAAAAAACAGCGAAAGCAGCACGAAAAGCAGCAAAAGCAGCAAAAGCAGCAAAAGCAGCGGTAGCAGCAAAAGCAGCACGAAAAGCAGCGGTAGCAGCAAAAGCAGCATAAAAAGCAGCGGAAGCAGCAAAAGCTGCATGAACAGCAGCATGTAAAGCAGCGAAAGCAGCACGAAAAGCAGCGGTAGCAGCATGAAAAGCAGCTAAAGCAGCACGAAACGCAGCATAAAAAGCAGCGGAAGCAGCATGAACAGCAGCATGTAAAGCAGCGAAAGCAGCATGAAAAGCAGCACAAAAAGCAGCGAAAGCAGCAAAAGCAGCACGAAAAGCAGCAAAAGCAGCGGAAGCAGCAAAAGCAGCACGAAAAGCAGCGGTAGCAGCAAAAGCAGCACGAAACGCAGCAAAAGCAGCATGAACAGCAGCATGTAAAGCAGCGAAAGCAGCACGAAAAGCAGCAAAAGCAGCATGAAAAGCAGCTAAAGCAGCACGAAAAGCAGCGGAAGCAGCACGAAAAGCAGCAAAAGCAGCGGAAGCAGCAAAAGCAGCGGTAGCAGCAAAAGCAGCACGAAAAGCAGCGGTAGCAGCAAAAGCAGCACGAAACGCAGCAAAAGCAGCATAAAAAGCAGCGGAAGCAGCAAAAGCTGCATGAACAGCAGCATGTAAAGCAGCGAAAGCAGCACGAAAAGCAGCGGTAGCAGCATGAAAAGCAGCTAAAGCAGCACGAAACGCAGCATAAAAAGCAGCGGAAGCAGCATGAACAGCAGCATGTAAAGCAGCGAAAGCAGCATGAAAAGCAGCACAAAAAGCAGCGAAAGCAGCAAAAGCAGCACGAAAAGCAGCAAAAGCAGCGGAAGCAGCAAAAGCAGCACGAAAAGCAGCGGTAGCAGCAAAAGCAGCACGAAACGCAGCAAAAGCAGCATGAACAGCAGCATGTAAAGCAGCGAAAGCAGCACGAAAAGCAGCAATAGCAGCATGAAAAGCAGCTAAAGCAGCACGAAAAGCAGCAGAAGCAGCACGAAAAGCAGCGGTAGCAGCATGAAAAGCAGCAAAAGCAGTACGAAACGCAGCAAAAGCAGCGGAAGCAGCAAAAGCAGCATGAACAGCAGCATGCAAAGCAGCACGAAAAGCAGCACGAAAAGCAGCGAAAGCAGCACAAAAAGCAGCGGAAGCAGCAAAAGCAGCACGAAAAGCAGCGGAAGCAGCATGAAAAGCAGCATGAAAAGCAGCATGAAAAGCAGCGGAAGCAGCACGAAAAGCAGCGGAAGCAGCACGAAAAGCAGCAAAAGCAGCACGAAACGCAGCAAAGGCAGCATGAAAGGCAGCATGGAAAGCAGAAAAAGCAGTGAAAGCAGCAAAAGCAGCAGAAAGAAATGCAGCAGAAGCAGCACTTAATTGAGGTAGTGAAATATTTGGTGAAAATGCAAGAATAGCTAGTGATAGCTTGATACAGATTAGGTATGAACTAAATGGTAATAGTGTGAAGCGGCAGTTTTGAATAAGATGACAACAGTGTCAGTGCAGTTTTGAAATTATTGAGGGAAAGTGTTGGGAGTTAGTTCATCCAGCCGCTTCTTCAGTCAAGGCTGGTAATTGTTTGACAGCACTGAGTTTCTTGGCAACAGTGCATAGTATCTGTGTAAAAAATGTGAAGAAAATCATGCGTGAATATTCGAAGTGAGGTTGTTAGTATCACCCAAAGTGCATGTCCATGGAACGAAATTCTTTCTGATATACCGTGGGAAGGTAATAATCTGAATACTACTGGGATTTATAGAAAACAAAAAAGGACCAAGAATCTAAAAGTTATGCTATAATGTCCACTGACACCACCGGTTACTAAACAATCATCTCATGCGATAACATTGCACCCGAGTCAACTACTGGGATTTGTTGTGAAGAGGGTCACGTGATGGTATGCTAACACACATACACGTGATGGTATGCTAACACATACACACACACACACACAGTCTAGTACTTTACCTGCTGGCACCGTCCTTGTCGTGGTCATTATCGAGCAGTAGGAAAGGATTCGGTTGCAAATCGCATACATTTCTACGGACGCTGCAATTTGTTGAAATTCTCTGATTTCGATACTTTTCAAGTATCTCCGCATTGTCGCAATTCCCGCACTTTTTGGTTGCAAATCACATAAATTTCTACGGATGCTGCAATTTGTTGAAATTCTCCAATTTCGATACATTTCAAGTACCTCCGCATTGTCACAATTCCCGCACTTGTTGCTAAGGAAACACGTTTTTAACCTCAATCATTTGCATTCGAACATTGCAAAATGCTTTGCTGCATACTCCGTGTTTCGGAGAAGCAGCTTTCATGGAGTCACCAGCACACTGCCTGCCTCCCTCCCCCCCCCGGGATGGAACGGAACACCTGTCACACCCCCTACCCCTCAGAAGTTTTCCTCGGAAGATGTGCAATAGTATCTGAAAGAAAAGAAAGAATCCAGAAAACAGACACATCCGCGTCCGCACATACACACACACACACACACACGCGCACGCACGCAAACAAAGAAAGAGGATCCTGATGCAGTGTATGGTAGGATGCGCTTTCTCCTTGGTTCAGCACTGTGAATAAAATACCTTTAGTGGATGGTTGTACAATGGAGCATTGGCAGTCCTATGTTTGAAAATAAAATGTGCACTCAACTGCATGTATGCCTTACATCCCAAAGAGTATCCTCTCCCCTTCCCCAGGCATATCCATGATAGCTCACAACAATGCTGGGCCAGGTCTTTTAAAAAGGTTCTGTCCAGTTTCACACAAAAGCTTACTCCCTGGGACACTCACTGAACATTTCCACCAAAAGTTGAGGAAGACCACAACGAGCTAACATTGCCATCTGGGTTCCGATGTCTCTCATAATCCGTATCATACGATCGTGTTCTAATCCTTTCCACACAGCTCTTACCCCCCACCACCAAGTCTGCATTACGAGGCAAGGCTGTGAGTGGCAAGGCTGTGAGTGGCAAGGCTGTGAGTGGCAAGGCTGTGAGTGGCAAGGCTGTGAGTGGTAAGGGTGACAATCTACCGCTAAGAACAATGCATTTATACTTAGCAACAGGGTACGGCAGATGTTCAACCATTGCTGCTGGTAGCAATCAACGAACTCGTGTCCTTGCTGATGCAACAATGTATTCCACATAGCAGCAACACTGCCAGTCGGTATGTGTCAGTTCTGGGCAAAGGAACTCACACGTGCTCGTACACACATGGCAGACACAAGAGAACACATAAGACCAATCACTTCACTCGCTGGCATGCAATAACTGGGAAATCCTTGGTGAACCGACTCAATAGCGAGACAAATGACTGACTTCACAAGTATGTTGAAAGTAGTGCCACCATTGGCTGAACTGGTCCGGTTGGTCAGGCCATGGCTGACCCAACTGCCTGGCCACCAACCCATTCAGTGTACTGCAAAGGAGGTCCTGTGTAGCCGCCAAGTCTTACACAAACTGTATGAAGGATTATGGTATGGCCAGATCAATCCATAACTGCCTCTGCTAGTCCTGTTGACATGAGTTTGTGCAAGGGAAAACCCCTATTTATTCGACGGTTTCATGTTCAACGTGCCTTTAGCAATGGCGAATTTAAAAGTACAACGAAATTTGTGTTATGTCTTGTCTGAAATGTGACTTTCAAGCGCCTTTCACGAATAGACGTTGCACAGATATCCGTCTACTGGTTTAGATTTAGCTTTGGATTAGCGGATCAGATGTCGTCAGTTTAGGAAATTATGAGAAATATCGAAATCATAAGATCATACCTAACTAGAGTGTGCAGTTTCGGGATATCCATGAAATGCCAATGAATGTCTATTGACAAACAAAAGAACGTTCGTCTGCGAAAGAACTACGAGTCTGGTAACTGTTAACGGATACTCGCTGGACGAGAATGCATGTGAACCGGTTTTGTGAAATCATCGAGCCCTGGTGCCCTGGTGCTGGTGGTTGAGAGCTTGATATGTGCAGTTTTTTTTCCTACTGTGCAAGCGGTGTTGTCTCCAATAGAGTACTGCAACTGATTCGAATTTGTGACGGGCATCTGAAGGCATTATCTGATAGGAGTATGGAGGGTTCTAACGCTTGCACAAACTGTCAACTGCCACAAGGAGAGACTTGGGTAGTGCCTGGGACAAGTCATACATCAGTTCTTGGGTAGTGCCTGGGACAAGTCATACATCAGTTCTTGGGTAGTGCCTGGGACAAGTCATACATCAGTTCTTGGGCAGTGCCTGGGACAAGTCATACATCAGTTCTCTGATGAACACTGCACTGTGTAGTCAGGCAGTGCATTGATCAGAAATACCACAGATCGATGCCATGCAGCAAACTGGTCAGTAGAACACATTCACCACACGCATGAACACCATACTTACATGAACACATGACGCTGTATGAAGGCTGTTGGTGACACATGCACTTTACTCGAGAGTAGTGATGCCACTGGACACCACGTTAGCGTGCATTAGCGTGCGTTAGAGTCTCCAAGAGCGCTTTGATTGAGCCACTCGTTGCGCATCCGGTGTCTTTCCCGCCGCAGCCGGAGAGCAGAGGTGGGTAGCAGAGCAGTTTCTCTGCCAGGAACAAGACAGATCCGAGGGAGAGCATTGGGCCAGGAACAAGACAGATCCGAGGGAGGGCATTGGGCCAGGAACAAGACATATCCGAGGGAGGGCATTGGGCCAGGAACAAGACATATCCCAGGGAGGGCATTGGGCGAAGTTTTGAACGACAGCAGCTAACTACCGTATAAGTGCACATTTTCGTTTACGAAATCTTTCGTTAGATCACTCCACCAGCACGTTCGTTTACGAAATCTTTCGTTAGATCACTCCACCAGCACGTTCGTTTACGAAATCTTTCGTTAGATCACTCCACCAGCACGTTCGTTTACGAAATCTTTCGTTAGATCACTCCACCAGCACGTTCGTTACGTAGGTCTACTCTATTTCGTTTTGGTCGAAGTCTGTCACCCCGAACGTTCAGAAAAGAAACTTTAGTTTGGTACAAACATGGACTCGGATGGAGAGCCAAGGATTAATTTATAGAAAAAGAAAGGAACTGCAAGTTACGCTATAATGTCCACTAACACCACGAGTTACTAAACAATCAGCTCATGCGATAACATTGCATGACACTGACCCGACGGTACTGACGTTCTACAACTGGCTAACAGCTCTCAGCACATGTTGGATGCGCACTCCAACAGCCTTCCAGTAGAACGTCAGTACCGTCGGTCATTGTCGTGCAATGATATCGCATGAGCTGATTGTTTAGGAACTCGTGGTGTTAGTGAACATTATAGCGGAACTTGTAGTTCCTTGGTCCTTTTCTATAAATTTGGTACAAACTTTAGTTATTTCGTGCCCCCTAACGAATATAGCGAGACGCCGAGTTATACAGTGCTACATGTATGGTTACTTCCCAGTATACAGTATGAAAAGCACCGATGAGAGAGAAGGAGAGGAGGGTGCATGAACTTTGAACCCTGACCTCACTTAGCAAACATTATGCTTGGGATGGAGGGCACCCGGCACACGCGCCTCTCGGTCCTTGAACTACTGAACACGAAGTCGAATGCCCAGCAGACAGTATTCACAATGGCCGTGAACACAAACGCAAAGAAACCAAATTGCACAACAATGGCGATGAGCGATTCGTGGACTAGTGCACCAGTGCACACATGCATCCTGGGAAACACACGGTAAAGGAATTCTCATAACGTACCTCTGCATGTGCTGGGCGATCCTCACGGCCAGCCATAACAGTGACTTGTGAACGAATGATATGCGACGGAACGGCAGGTGATACTGAATAATAGAATACCGCCAAGGTGGAGGAGTGATGTCTTACCAGAGCTAGCTACACTCGCTATAGTGAATAACTAGAGCACGCTCTTGGACCCTAGGAAGACAACATGAAGGAGAAAGAATATGGTGGATTCGTTACCAGTCGTAAGCACTGTGCGAAGACAACAACTATCCGTCCATTGGCAATGGTACAGGGCAACTTACTTTGTTTCGGACTGTACTTCATGATGGGTTGATCCAAGACGAGTGAAGATATGGTGTGCCCTTCCTACTTCTCCTTAGCGTGCTGTTCCACAGCTAGCTATGGGAAGACGTACATGTTAGCGAGCGAGTGCTCTTCCGAATTTGCCGAGTCGCTGTGCGGCTTTGACCAGCTCACACTGCATTCACCTCCCAACAAGAGACAGCTAACTATGGCTACGCAAACTACGTTTCTGCTCTCAATGTACACTGACCCGCCAGTGGCCTTCCAATCCAGTTGGAGAAATCACGCGTGGTTGGAGGACGGGAGGAAGAAGAACAGTCTTCTCAACAAGAAGATGTAAACGAATGACTG